AGTTTGAGTCAATCAACTGGCAGACCTTGAGTGAAGTTTGATCTGGCTTACTCAAGAAAGTTTGAGTAATATTCAAATCAAAAGAAAATGAACGCGGTAGAATATGAAAATATGCGGCTCACAACTCTACAAGTTGTGGCCTCACTCATGAATCACCGTCCATGTCCTTCTCCAAGTGCCCGATCACACCAAGGTTGGGTCCACTAAGATGTCTGAATGAGATAACCCTCAAGGAGGATGCTCCTATGATCAAATCTCACATCATCCCAATGTCATGTATCGTCCTAACACAGTCTCAATTGTACCCGGACCACCAAGGATACTCCCCAGCCAGCGGCAAGTCCACGCCGCCTCTCACCACGTCCGCTCACAATAACCATACCAGCATGCCGCTCCCGATTTTAAAATTAGTCCCAAACACTAGGGTAGGACAGGGGGGGTGGGGGTGCGCCAGGGCAAAAAAGATAAGAGGAAGGGTGGGTGGGGTCTTCAGAGGGATTCAGCTGGACAACCGAGTGGCCGAGTACTGTGGATAACTGTCATTGATCTAGTATCCCACCTCTACAACAACCCGGATTTTTTATTAAAAAAATAAAAAATAAAAAAATTTAGGAGGCCGCGCTCCGTAGATAAAATGAATCGGTGGTGGGCGGCCTCCGAAAGGGGCCCGCGCCTGATAGCTGGCATGTACTGGTGCTTTAAGGGCTTAGTGTCGGTGGCCTGTCATTGCTGTGGTCTTCGACGCTAAGCTTGCTCTTAGCTGGTAGATTCAGGGTGCAGTATAGTTGGTCTGTCCTTTCTTTTTTTTCTTTTTTTTTTAATATAAAAGCCCAGGGTGTTGTAGAGGCTGGTTACTAGGCACACGTTGATCACCAGGAGCGGTCAGCCATGGTCGTCCTGAGGGAACAAGGTTTACCTCTCCATCCCATCCTCACGTCAATACTCCTAGCGCACCCCCTATCTCTACTATCCGACCTCAGTGTGACCAGCACTCAGGACCATTCCCGAACTTGGACCGAACAGCAGTGACAGGCACCAGGGCTAGCCATGACCCAGCCGTGGTGAAGTGGAATCGAACGAGCCTCGTCGCACGGGAACTTCGGATGCCAGGCCCAAGCAATCTCCTACTAGCCCCTAAGTTGACCAACTGGTAACTCACACCCTGTACTCAATCCGGACCAACCAGTGACTCGCGCCCTCTACTCGCCCACCACAGCCCTAGTCTGCTACACACAGTCTAGCTGATTTTAAGGGGGTACTTAGTCATCGAAACGCCTATCATCATCTTAGTTGATCCAGACCAACCAGCGACTCACGCCCTCTATCATCATCAGTTAATCCAGACCAACCAGTGACTCACGCCCTCTACTCGCCCACCACAGCCCTGGTCTGCCACACGCAGTCTAGCTGATTTTAAGGGGGGTACTTAGTCATCGAAACGCCTATCATCATCATTAGTTGATCCGGACCAACCAGCGACTCAGGGATACTTACCATCGAATGCCTATCATCATGATCAGTTGATCGTAACCTCCTCCCAGCCCTATGGTTGTGTATGTATGTATGTATGTACTCTGTATCTTGGATATATGCCCATGGGCTATGTGTATGTTCGTAATGTGTATGTGGACCCGATTTCATAGCAGACGCTGCTCCCCACCATGGAGCATCTGCAAGGTAAGTACTGAGTACTGGTGAGAGGTGCTCTTACCACCTCCACTAGTACATGCGTGTGTGTGAGCTATGTGTGTATATAGTATGTGTGTATGGTATGTGATAGACTGTGTATCGTGGTTGTGCTATCTGGGGTGATATCTCTGTATGTGGGTGTATGTGGTAGAGACAGGTCTATCTGGACAGGACTCCCCCCAAAGTCTGGAACCGGACTCGAACCTGTGACCTACAGTATGAAACTGGAGGGTTCTACAACATGTACTTCCGCGGGAAGTGGATATAATGTGTGTAATGTCTGGGCTGGGGGAGATCATCAGAGCGACCAAAGCCGTGAGCTATGTGTGTATATAGTATGTGTGTATGGTATGTGATAGACTGTGTATCGTTGTTGAGCTATCTGGGGTGATATCTCTTTATGTGGGTGTATGTGGTAGAGACAGGCCTATCTGGACAGGACTGCCCCCAAAGTCTGGAACCGGACTCGAACCTGTGACCTACAGTATGAAACTGGAGGGTTCTACCACATGTACTTCCGTGGGAAGTGGATATAATGTGTGTAATGTCTGGGCTGGGGGAGATCATCAGAGCGACCAACGCCAACAACAACTAGCAACCCACGTGAAGTCTAGGCCAGCATACAACATCCCTGGACTTAGCCCCCTGGGTGGTGCGCAGGCAGTGTCTGTAATAGTACCATGCGTCAGCCCAGGGGTGTGTGTGTCCAGCCGTGCATCATTCTAACGCCCTGCCGGTGTCCATGCCCAAGGCTGTGGAGTTTTGAACCCGCAACCTCATACCACAATGCACATTTCCAACCGGTGCTCTAACCACTGAGCTACATCAACTGGACATAGTTGTCCTTTCCGTAGTCTTCAACCCTAAACCCAAGTACATAGCCCGCGGTAGGTAGTGTGAGATAAAGAAAAAAATACCGAGAGAAGAATATGGCGTAGTAAATGCAGCTGTCACCCATATGAGGAGAAGGCAGCTTGCATTTTCTTTTCATTGACAAAACAATAAGCACCTGGTCATTACGTCCTGTGGGAAGGATGTACCACCCCTCACACATGCCTCCCAGGCGTAATAAGGAGGAGCATGGTGCGAGTATAAAAAAGAGTACACGATGTGTTTTTTTGGACTTGCCGGTGGAGGAGGAACCAAACTTACTGATGCTCCCCAGAATGGACAAGGAGGAAGAACCCTAAGGTTCTATTTTTTGTTTAAAAAAGCCGTCGGTGTCTCGGTCATTATATTTGAGCCTAGCCTCTCACCACATGGGCCCTCCTTCCTCCCTCTCCTGTTTTTCTTTGATTCCTAGATCACCCCCATCCAGTCTGGCCCCCGCAGACCTTTTGTCATAGGCTCAGAGAGGGGCATGGCTGAAGTTCTAATTACGGGCCCCAGGCACCAGTGGTGGTGCAATGACTTGCTGATTTTAACTGCCGAGATTGACTGCGAGGCTGTATAGTACAGCGGTAGGTTAGATTCACAATTTTGTTTGGCTGAGGGCTAACCGAGAGACCTACCTGTGAGGAAATTTGTGAGGGACATATCTGCAAATTTGGGAAAATACAGCCCTAACACTAACTGAATTTCCTACTACTACCCTAACTGCGAATAGCAGGCCCGGGCTACCCCTAGGACAGACAGGCCCTAAGTGGCCTATGCTGATAGACGGTCCTATAGCCTATAGCCGGGACCGGTAGAGGCCGAGAGGCCGAAACAGCAACGGTACCGGTCGGTCAGGCAGTCCGGTCCAGGTCTAGTGTAGTCTATAGATAGGTTAGGCCCATCAGTTCAGGACTTTTGGCAGCTCATTTCTCGCGAAGCAGCGTTGGAGAAGCCAAGCAAGTTGGTGGCGGTAACTGTCTGCAGGCGGCATCCTGAGACCTCGCCGTTGACAGCAACCATAGCCGGCCCAGTCTGAGTCTGTCATAGCTGGGGCATCCTCAGCGCACCTACCCCTGGGGGTATCTGCGTCTGGCCGGGCTACATCGAGGCTCTACACTGTGTACTCGTGGGTGGGGGCAGCCATAGCTGCCTGTTCCTTCGTCAGAGTTGTCCATCTACACTGAAGACTTCATCGCAGGACCTGTTCTTCATCAGGGTGGTTGGCGCTGGCCTCTGRGAGGCTATTCTGGTGTGGCGCTACTAACTGGGTGTAGGATAGAGAGTGGGGTGTGAGTTCTGAGAGTGGCGAGATACTGGAACAAACTCTGTTACGATAATTGGTTCAGTTGGCTCATCATCAGTGCAATTTCAATCCTCGCAGGTTCTACTTGTGATTGATTGGTTGTTGGGAGTTTGTCAGAGAGAGAGAAACACTGTGTGTCTTCTCCCCATCTGTGCATAGCTGTATTCCGCTGTCTACTCTGATCTGTGTGCAGTGTGGACTCTGTCTCCTCCCCCCCTTCTCTTATGCATGTATGGGTGTGTATGAGATTGTCTGTGTGTGAGTGGCGGTGAAAATCGTCAGACAACCAAGTTCATAACAGTTGAATGTTCATGCTTAGCCAACATGCATCTGGTCATGTTAATATCTGGATTCATGCTAGAATGAACAAAGCACACAAGTGGAGTCTGGCCCTCCCTTCTTCCGCCAATCACTCCACTGCACAATTGGTCAAGCAGGCTCAGAAATCACATAATTCACGGATTATTCATAATTTGTTATTTAAAAAAATAACAGTAATAATAAAAATAAAACTGCCTTCTCTAGCACACTGCCAACAGCAATGGCCCAGGTAATTTGCTTCTCAATAATTTCAAATTTTCAATTGGGAATTTGGAATTTCATTTTTTTATGTGCAAATTTCTGAAGTTGCAGTCACTTTCATGAATCAAATGCCTCATCGTCGGACCAAATACCAAGTTCTCAAGAACTGGTTCAGTAAATCCTTGCTAAATTACCCCTCCCTTCCTTCCGTCCCTTCCTTCCCTCCTTCCCTCCTTCCCTTCTTCCCTCCTTCTTCCCTTCTTCCCTCCTTCTCTCCTTCCCTCCTCCTTCCTTCTTCCCTCCTTACCTTCGTCCCTCCCTCCCTCCTTCCTTCCCTCCTCCTTTCCTTCTCTCCTTCCCTCCTTCTCTCCTTCCCTCCTTTTCTCCTTCCCTCCTTCCCTCCTTCTCTCCTTCCCTCCTTCCTTCCCTCCTTCCCTCCTTCCCTCCTCCCCTCCCTCCCCTCCTTCCCTTCCTTAGCAAGACCCCATTTGAGAATCCTAAGGAAGACTTCAAAGCACGAGAAAAACAATATCCAATGATAGAGTCTAAAGTTATAGCTGCTATGCCATCATGAACTACCTCCCTCCCTCTGGCATGCCATCCCTTTGGCGTAGAAAAACGGCTTTGATTTCGACCATATTGAGCTCCACGGGTTTTCCAAAGCCTGAAGTCCCAGCCACTTTCCCAAGCCTGAAGTACCGTGGCTTTTGCAAGCCTGAAGTTGCAGGGGTTTCCCAAGCTTGAAGTCACAGTGGCTTTCCCAAGCCTGAAGTCGCCATGGCTTTCCTAACCCTCAAGTCCCAGTGGCTTTGCCTAGCCTCAAGCCCTACCAGTTTTTCCAAAACTGGGCCCAGATTGGTCAAGGACTATGTTACCTCATCCAGTTCTCTACATCTGACATGGATGTTGCAATCCCAGACTTGGTGTGGCTTTGCCTAGCCTCAAGTCCTATTAGATATGTGACTAATGGGCAGCAGGCCCCAGTGGACGGTCGCATTCATGCTTAGAAAGGATGAAAGCAGGCGTAACAGCGGCAAGATTCGTACTTTCCTACGATGGACGTCACGCCTGTCGGGGGCCCGACCCAAAAGACTCGAACGCAGTGCCGGAATGTATGAAGTTAGACACTAAAGTTTCCCCCTCCACCCAGCATAACATTAGAGCAGTCAAAAAAAAAGAAAAGAAAAGAAAAGAAAAAAAAAGCACTAAAGCAGTCAGAATTTTCAATCGTACATTCAGTAAGGTGTGCAGAAAATCCAAAACAAGCAAAACTAATCATTACGTACATGCTCTAAAAGACCAAAAAAAAAAAAAAAAGACAAATTCCTGCAGGTGGCCTACCGCTTGTTTTTCCTTACTGCCTGAAGTTGTTTGTGTGCGTGTGTGTGCGTGTGTCATCCATGTCCAGGAGTCATTAATGGCTGTGATGTTCCAAAGGCTTCAACTGGCCCACCTAATGATGTGGCTGTTTTCTTCCTCGCTCGCACATCGCGGCTACGAGTTCGCAGTGGAAACTGACAGTTCCTCCCCCTGCCTGCACCAACATGTTCCGTCTCCACATTTCCATCTTTGACATGTTGCACCAACCAGGTAGCACCGATAAGACATTCAAGATATCTTTGAAAGGACAACATCAGCTCCTCCCTTTCTTCTTGTTTGACTTCGACTTCTCGGACTTCTTCGTTGACTTTTTGTTCGGCTTCTTGGTTGACTTCTTGTTCTACTCAACATGTCGCAGTTGCGGGTCACCGGTCACTAAGTGATGCCGATGCAATCTGGTTCATCTGGGAAACAACCCCCACAGAGATGCAGCTTGGGCCACCTTGTCAATGTCCCACTGAATCTGTCACTCGCTCACTTTCTCCCACTCAAGCTGTTCCCCTGTGTCCCAGTCCATGCGTTCCGCTTCATCCATATGCCTTGCCCCATTGCCCCCGATCCATGTGCCACACACTCCATATAATCCCAATTCCTGTGCCCCAGTCCATATTGCCCACTTCATGTGCCCCACTCCATATCGCCCTCTTCATGTGCCCCACTCCATGTGTCCCGCTCACTTTCTCCCACTCAAGCTGCTCCCCTGTGTCCCGATCCATGAGTTCCGCTTCATCCATGTGCCCTGCGTCATTGTCCCAATCCATGTGCTACACTCCGTATCAGCCCACTTCTTGTGCCCCGCTCCATATGGCCCGCTTCATGTCCTCCTTTCCCCCCCCTTATATCGCCGCTTCATGCACCCCACTCCACGTGTCCCGCTCCATCTGTCGCATCTTGGGGAGGCGACCTCTACTCCCGGCTTCAAAACCAACCTAGATTGGTCGAACAGGCAAGGTGTCCATCTCCGCCAACTGGTCTGTGTCCTGCTGGGGTCAGCAGCTTGCCTCAATGATATCCAGAGTTCTGTTTGGTTGTGTCCTTGGAGTCAGTTTCTCGCTGCAAATCAGGTAACTTGTCAGCGCTCTCCGCACCATTCACAGGTTGGTGGGTGAAGGGGCTACCATTGTTCTCCTCCTTGATGGAGCTGTCGAGGCTCTCAACCACGGCGCTGCCTTCCTTAGCAGCAGTATTTTTGCCGCGCTGGTCCAGATAGATAGGAAGGATGCGTAGGCGGCAGTTCGGTTCCGTTCCACAGACTTCGGACGTAAGCTGGTAGTGCTCAACAAGTTTTCCCTGCATCATACAGTAAAAAGCCATACGGCATTCCTCAGACATGTTTAGGACCCAAAAAAAAAAGGGAAAATTGCATCTGTACCCCATTTAACTCCCCACGAATAGACTGGATCATTTTGTCAAAAAAAAAGGGAAAAAAAGAAAGGATGGGAATGTCCCTGAATTCTCAGGGCAATCAATGCTGCCAGGCTGGGTCGAACATTCTCAATGCCGCCGAGTTATATGGAACTGTTAGAAATTGGTAGAAAGTACTAGAAAACATGAAATCTGGGACACTGGACCCGGTTTCCAGCCAATGAAGCTCCCCAGTGTCCCACAAATAGACTGGCGCACTGTGGAAAGAAAATACTATGGGGAGGGGCTCCTATCACTTCCCACAGTAGCATCAGTGCCGGGATTGGGACCAAAAAAAAAAAAGAAAAAAAAAAAAAGAATGGGTCCCTACGGTGGTTACTCCGTGAGTCAAAGTGAATGTAGACTGTGCGTCAACGATAGACCTGACTCGAACAGAAATTCATCCACGGAAACAAGTCTGCACGCTTGTCGAAACAGGTACCTTCGCCATCTCAGCACGTAACAGTCAACTTCCGATAAACGAAGCCACACGCCCTGTAGTACTACTCCTACGGTGGTTACTCCGTGAGTCAAAGTGAATGTAGACTGTGCCTCAACGACAGACCTGAGTCGAACAGAAATTCATCCATGAAAACATGTCCGTACGCTCGTCGAAACAGGTACGTTCGCCATCTCAACACGTAACAATCAACTTCCGATAAACAAAGCCACACACACCGTAGTATTACTCCTACGATGCTTACTCTGTCAGTCAAAGTGAATGTAGATTGTGCGTCAACAACAGACCTGAGTCGAACAGAAATTCATCCACGAAAACAAGTCCATACGCTCGTCGAAACAGGTACGCTTGCCATCTCAGCACGTAACAGTCAACTTCCGATAAACGAAGCCACACGCCCTATAGTATTACTCCTACGATGGTTACTCCGTGAGTCAAAGTGAATGTAGATTGTGCGTCAACGACAGACCTGACTCGAACAGAAATTCATCCACGAAAACAAGTCCGTACGCTCGTCGAAACAGGTACGTTCACCATCTCAGCACGTAACAGTCAACTTCCGATAAACAAAGCCACACGCGCTGTAGTATTACTCCTACGATGCTTACTCCGTGAGTCAAAGTGAATGTAGACAGTGCGTCAACGACATACCTGACTCGAACAGAAATTCATCCACGAAAACAAGTCCGTACGCTCGTCCAAACAGGTACGTTTGCCATCTCAGCACGTAACAGTCAACTTCCGATAAACGAAGCCACACGCCCTGTAGTATTACTCCTACGGTGCTTACTCTGTGAGTCAAAGTGAATGTAGACTGTGCGTCAACGACAGACCTGAGTCGAACAGAATTTCATCCACGAAAACAAGTCCGTACGCTCATCGAAACATCTACGTTCGCCATCTCAGCACGTAACAGTCAACTTCTGACAAACAAAGCCACACGCCTTGTAGTATTACTCCTACGGTGCTTACTCTGTGAGTCAAAGTGAATGTAGACTGTGCGTCAACGACAGACCTGGGTCGAACAGAATTTCATCCACGAAAACAAGTCCGTACACTCGTCCAAACATGTATGTTCGCCATCTCAGCACGTAACAGTCAACTTCCGATAAACGAAGCCACACGCCTTGTAATATTACTCCTATGGTGGTTACTCCGCGAGTCAAAGTGAATGTAGACTGTGCGTCAACGACAAACCTGACTTGAAAAGAAATTCATCCACGGAAACAAGTTAGTACGCTCGTCGAAATAGGTACGTTCACCATCTCAACACGTAACAATCAACTTCCGATAAACGAAGCCACACACCTTGTAGTATTACTCCTACGGTGGTTACTACGTGAGTCAAAGTGAATGTAGACTGTGCGTCAACGATAGACCTGACTCGAACAGAAATTCATCCACGAAAACAAGTCCGTACGTTCGTCGAAACAAGCACGTTTGCCATCTCAGCATATAACAGTCAACTTCCGATAAAGGAAGCCACACGCCCTATAGTATTACTCCTACGATGGTTACTCCGTGAGTCAAAGTGAATGTAGACTGTGCGTCAACGACAAATCTGACTCGAACAGAAATCCATCCACGAAAACAAGTTCATACGCTCGTCGGAACAGGTACGTTCGCCATCTCAACACGTAACAGTCAACTTCCGATAAACGAAGCCACACGCCCTGTAGTATTACTCCTACGGTGGTTACTCCATGAGTCAAAGTGAATGTAGACTGTGCGTCAATGACAGACCTGACTCGAACAAAAATTCATCTACGAAAACAAGTCCGTACGCTCGTTGAAACAGATACGTTCGCCATCTCAACACGTAACAGTCAACTTCCGATAAACGGAGCCACACGCCCTGTAGTATTACTCCTACGGTGGTTACTCTGTGAGTCAAAGTGAATGTAGACTGTGCGTCAATGATAAACCTGGCTCGAACCGAAATTCATCCACGAAAACAAGTTCGTACGCTCGTCGAAACAGGTATGTTCGCCATCTCAGCGCGTAACAGTCAAAGAGAAGGTTAACAACAGTTGTATTTTTCATCACCACGTCAAGACACCATTCACCACTTCAGGATGCAGCCTGCCTAAACAGGTGGTTTTCAAGGTCTTCGGACCTTTCACCACTTAAGGACCATTCAGGATTTTCAGACTACCCAAAACTCTCACTTCACCACTTCAGGATGTAGCCTGCCTAAACAGGTGGTTTTCAGAGTCTTCGGACCTTTCACCACTTCAGGACCATTCGGGATTTTCAGACTGCCCAAAACTCTCACTTGAGAATTTTCATTCTTGAATTTTCAGCTACCCGTTAACCGCTTGTGAACAGTCAACTTCCGATAAACGAAGCCACACGCTCTGTAGTATTACTCCTACAAAGACTGTGCGTCAACGACAAACCTGACTCGAACAGAAATTCATCCACGAAAACAAGTTCGTACGCTTGTCGAAACCGGTACGTTCGCCATCTCAGCACGTAACAGTCAACTTCCGATAACACCCTGTAGTACTACTACGGTGGTTGCTCTGTGAGTCAAAGCGAATGTAGAC